ATGAGGTCAGTTCTTCTTGTCACCTTGTCAGACGATGATGCAAGTGAGAGCTCTCAAAACTGGCCTGGTGTCTGCAGCCTGCCCTGCGACAGTGACTCCTGGGCTCTGCCCAGCTGTTATGCAGTTGTAGTGTATTGATTATTGGCGCTGTGTCAGGTCTCCCTCAGACGTCAGCTCTGCGGGCTTGAAATGCAAAATGACGGAGGTAGGAAGGAAGTTTCACTGCTTGTAGGATCTGTCTCTCCTGTGCAGAGTGGAAGCCTGCAGCAGTGAGCTGAGCTGATCAGCAGCCAGCAGGTCCGAAGAGGCGCCGATTCTAAATTTAGGATGAGGAGACAAAGGTTTTTTGGCATGTAAGAAGGTAGCTTCACAGCTGACAAGCTCCCAGGAGCAATCTGCCGATATAGCAAAATTTGCCGATACAGCCAGAAATGACAAGAGAAGAAATGCACACAAAGTGATCGCAGCAGCTGACGGAGCCGTTGGCCTTTGAGAGAGGGACTCTTGAGTTCTGGTAGCTGGCCTTCACTTACTCCTGTGCGCGTCTCTGTCTGTCCTACTGGACCCTCTTAACTGCTTGACTGACTGGATCTTGTTGCCAGGAACAGCTGAAAAATAAGAGAGAGACATTCATTATCCAGAGGAGTTTTTGGCGGGCGCTGCAGCGTGAATTCGCGGTCTCCCAGCATCTCTCTTTAAAAGCCACATGTGACGGGTCGCAGTCAGGCTGTCTCCCTCGGTTACCGCCGAGACCGCCGGCCTGCCGTGGGGGGGCAGCATGTGTACAGTGACCAGATTTGACTGTCTCGAGTCATTAAACCTCGGCTCTTCAGAAAAATGTTCGCCACATGCTGCGGCATCCCCCCCGGCCCCTGTAGCGGGAGCCCCTTGCCCTCCGCCGGTGTCTCAGTGCTCGGTGAGCGGTCCCGAGCAGAACGGGACAGAGGAGCGGCGGCCGGCAGCGCAGGCAGCGCCGGATACACCCTGTGGTCTGCGGGAGCGGGGCCGCTGCCTGTAAAAGCCGGGCTGCTGCTTTTCCAGAGCCGGGGTGCTGTCGGTGTGCCGTTCGTGTTTTCCCCCCTCGTGCGTGTGTGGATTTCCTCCCACAGTCCCATACTGGTAGGTTAACTGGGAATATCAGCTTGGCCCCGGTACGAGAGGGTGTGAGTGTCTCTAGTGTGCCTTGTGGATGGGCCGCGGTCCTGTCCGGGGTGGATCCTGCCTTGTGCCCGTTGCCTGCAGAGAGAGGCTCCCCCGTGGTGGTGAGAACACGGATTAGTAGATGGATCGGCAATATTCAGACAAGGCACTGCAGATCTTCCAGTTCTTTGTGCTGCCGCTGTAGACAAACAAGGATGCATTCCTGGAGAACTCCAGCATTCCTGTGCTGCTTCCATTTTGTGTACAATTCATTCCTTGACCCTAATGTAGTGAATGAAGTAGATTGAGGTAAAGGGCATCAATACTTCTACAGTATCTGCCACTGTATGGCGATGTACAGGACTCCTACAACATTTCACTGGTGCTTTTTTATAACGGCGCTATAACATGCTATTACTCAATTTTCCATAAGTCAGGAAATGAAGGTTTCCTTCAAGCTGCCTTTGTGGCGGGTCCTCTTTCTCTGAGATGTTTTGGAAAACCCAGACCCTGTTGGATGGCGAGCAAAGAGCTCCAGTTTGGCAATGAGTTTAAAATTAACAAAATTGGTGGTGTCAGTGCAGGCGGGTGAAGGCAGAGCGAGAGAGAGGATGTGGGCTGGGGCTGAAAACTGCTTTCAGATTTCTTCTTTTATTGGTCGATCAGGAGATGCAATAACATTTGCTCAGCATGTTGGTTTTGGGGTTTTTTTTTCTGTGCTTGTCAGGGAGTGGGATGATGGAGTGCTGTATCCCACAGCTGGGAAGATAAAGCAGTAAAAGATCAAGGACCGCTTTTTAAAATTTGGAATTTCTTAATTATAGGACGATTTTGAATTGTCATGGGAGCCAGTGGCTATTTTTTTGTTTGTTTTTTAAATGCAGCCCAGATTTTATACTTAAAATGATGAATGATGTCTGTTATGACCACTCTGTTGGGGGGGAGTTCTTTGAACAGAATAGTACCTAATAATTGCCTACTAATTACTTAAAAGGAAATAAATTGGCTTGTTTTTAAATTCTTCTTCCAGGATTGTTCTCCACAGAAGTTAAATGGCATATGGACTCTGTACATGGTTAAGAGTAATTACCATAAAACAAGTAATTAAATTTAGTTTTGTTTCAGAGACTAAGCCAGATGTAAGCAAACAAGATTTGAAAACCCTGTTCATATACATGGTTCAGTCATAACATTTCTCTTCTTTGTCTAAGGAACAGTCTCAAAGATAGTGAAAACTTTGCAAGAGTTGTTGCAGTTGTTGCACAGACTAATTAATCCTTCCCACTGGTGAGGAAGCAGGAGACTATTCTGAGAGCACATTGAATGAGACTGCACCCTGGATGAGATGCCTCTCTGCTGCAGGGCACACGCTTACACTGGGCCACTTTAGACATGTGTTCATGCCTTGAACATGCAGGGTCCACACAGAAGGATCCACAGTCTGAAATCGAACCCAGGAGCCAAGAACCACGAGACTAAAGCATTACTCTCCGCAAGCTCACGTTTCTTCACACTGCTCGAGTGTTAGAATTTCTCATGTCTTTTATTTTAAGCTAAAAACAAACAGTGGGCAGGGGAGTGAAGAGCTCTGCAGGCCATCCTGTTAACATCTTGTACAGCTGAGATAGGCAGTTTGACTATCACTGTCTTCCATAATCAGCAACTGATTAGAACACGTGCCCAGTCACTCCAGACAACATGACACTAACCAGTCTGCTTACACATGAGGCGATTTGATAACGGAGACAGAGTGGCTTTGAAGACTGCCAGCTGCAGGCAGATGTGGAATACTGAAGAACTGGCTCGTTCAAGGCAGACAGGAGCTAAGGATAAATGCTATTTAGTGGGACATTTTCCTAAAACTTTCTTTTAGCTGACTTTTCTCAGTTTAAGGCAAAAGGTCCGTGTCCTAACATATGTTTCTAATGCTGCTTAGAAGCTTGTGGGCTGCTTTAATACTAAAGAAGGTTCAAATTTAGCAATTTAGCATGTTAGCATGGGTGGGGCGCTGTCTCTAACATGGCTCCTGGCACATTTGAAATCAGGCTGTGCTTGCAGGTGACGATGGCCCTCAGATCTATATGCATCAGTGATAAACAGGAAGCTTTTTGTTTTTTTTTATGGCTGTGTAACATTACTTGGAAATAGTGCCTGTGGGCCTTTAAGACCGGAGACAGTGATCCTGTCTTCGCAGCAGGATGGTGGCGGGACTTTTTGGTTGTGATTGAGGTTGGTGCAGAGCTGGAAGCCTAGGGGAGGGGAGGGGGTGGGTGCTGGCAAGGGTCGTAAATTACACTCAGGCATCTTTGTCTGCCCATCCCTAGACAAAAACCTCTCCGATATTTCACTGTGCGCGAAGGCTGACACACGACAAAAGGCCACTGGGAGCATCTGATCTGCTGAGACCGGCATTATCATACAAAGGCCTCTTTCAAGAGAATGAATATGTTTGTGGAAGCAGGAGCAGTGCTTTTTTGAAAGATGAGAGGTCACGCTTGAGAAAGATTCCAGCCTTGAGCGCTGTGTGTGTGGAGTTTGCACGTCCCCCATGTTTCTTTTTGAGCGAGGAGCAGGAAGAGGAAATAATGAGTCTTTTCTTCCTCCACTGTGTATCTCCTAATATACTGTACTAGTCATCTGGGTCTGTATAGCTGGGCAGAAGACTGAATCTAATGGATCTCCATTCCTGGTTGATTTCAGAGGGGAACAGAAAATTGTGAATGCAAAACACCGCCTGCTCTTGCACTTTTTGGTGAATCCTGTGAATGCTGGTCTGTTTTATGTCTCGGCTCCCCACTGAGTTTGCTCCGTGCTGTAAACAAGTCTTATCAGGCCTTGGGAGTTGCTGAGGGTCTGGAGCCAGTGGAGGCCTCACTCTGTCTCTGACCCAACTGGGCCACTACTCCATTCTTACATCTGTGCTGATACAGATGTAGGAGACAAGCCACCTTCTTCCAAGACTGCTTGCCTCTCCTTGCCTGCACAGCATGTAGCACCCCAAACCGTCATTTCCTACAAACATTCATAAAAAAACAGCATTGTGCTACGTGATACAGTGCCCCACACACTTGGGAAGCTGCTATTGGCAATTGCAGCTTCCCTAGGACTAGCAATCACCAGATGTGGTTTACTGTGCCTGTACCTCCAGCGCAGCCCCTGGAAGCAGTTGTGTCACTCAAAGCTACTTCTGGTTTTCTGCATCCCTTGTTGTCATCATAGACACAGCCTACAGCTGATTTGCATGCACCTCCAGTCTTTCTTTGTGCGCGCTCGTAAACCAGAGCATCATGCATTTCTCGAACGTTTCTCCCTTCTTCTCTCCCTGTTACAAACGAAAACAAATGGGAATGTTTTTCTCCCCTTGGGAGATAAGCACCAAGATGTCCTTTTACCCTCAGCTGGCCAGAGCAGTCAGGGGCTGATAGGGCTTTGATGTAGAAGAGGGGTGGAGACACTGGGCCGATGAGACAAGGAGAGACGAAGAGTATGGAGAAAGACAGGCTGTTCCTAGACATGGCAGCCCTGGAAGTGGTCTCTTCTCCTCTCACAGAAAAGGAGCAGGGAGTGAGCCTCTCAGATAATGATAATGTTTGCTGTCAATATCTGCAAATGTCTAATAATAACAATAAAAACATTTGCTGTAAATGTCCGTAATTGATTCAGCTTCTAAGAGCTTTATTGGCGTGACCGATGAATGACTGCATCTGTAAATGTTTTACTAGCTGTTCTTGCTTCGCAAACACCAGACCTCATGGGTCAAGCCAATAACGCTCTTTGAAATTGAATTTGACTGATGCAGAACCACAGTTAAGCACGCTGTCCACTCAGAAAGCCTAGTTGCTCAGAATTCTCAGAATTGATCAGGACACCCAGCGTTTTAACTCCCTCACCTCATCCAAGCCTAGCTGCTAAGATGCCCTGAGGATTCAAGAGCCTTTCTTCTGGAGAGCTGTCTAGAGCAGATCTGTGATCAAGCTAAGTGTTGCTAAGTGACGATTTAAGAAAAGAGAATGAATGAATGATGGCCGCAAGTTACAGCAGGCTGCAAGTTGAACAGAAGAACTTTTCTTTGATATCATCAGGTAACTGGTAAAAAATCATCCTTGACCTTTAGATAACACGTTTTATGTGCAATTTTCCATACAGTACTGATTGTGCAATACTTTTCAGGCTTAGACTGCAAGGTAAAAATGTTGCCTTGAAAATGAACTGATAATGGTTGACATCGCTCGTGTGAGTAATAACTGTAGGGTGAGACCCACGTTCTGGTTGAAATAATTAATAAGAGAGTCAACTTTTTGTTGGGTGTGTTGAAGCTTTACAAGGATGTCCTGCTTCAATTACAACAATAGCGGTAGTTCCTTGCTTAAAGTCTGCAAGGAAGCCAAATCTGAGCTCTGCCTGGACTTTGTAAAATAGCGTTGATAAGCTCGGAAACATCTGTGGCAGGGATGCCTGAAACAAATATATTACAAGAGCAGATTTTGTTCAGAGCAGTTAAGAATGATTGCTGGGGAGCGTGTTCAGATGAGAATTTTTAGGTTTACCCATTCAGACCCTGGCTCCAGAGCTGACAATAACTGTGAGACACCAGTGCTGTTTCAATGCCACAGTGCTGCCCATTTGCCTTTTTATTCTTAAAAAAGTAATGTACACATGTACAGTACGTTAAAGAGAGCAATAAATTGCCCGGCCATGCTCCGGAGGTTAAAATTTAACTTGGATCTTTCAGAATTTCAGGACTTTTGGATGTGAAACCAGGGCAGCACATGCAGCAGTGACTCACAGACAAGTCGTGTGCTGGGAGCCCCGGAGTGGGACAGTACTGCAGGAGAGAGGAGACAAAACTGGCAGTGAGCTGGGAGCACAGCAAGAGGGGAGGGCCAGTGCTCTGGGGAGGGAAGTCTAACCAGCAGGGAGGCGAGATGATGAACCTAAAACAAGGGGAATGAGAGAAGAATTCCTTTCTTGTCAGATTGCATCCCCAACCATCCCGGTGGTTCAGTATTTTTTGGGATTGTTAATTTAATGGTCTCATTCAACTCGCTTAAAACAAACGATTTCTTTTTCTTCCAACTACCCGACTAAAGAAAGATAACTTTGTTGACACCTACGTTAATCACATTGTAATTTCATTCAATTCCACATATTAAAGCAAATACAGTATGGAAACAAAGTGCACATTTTGCATTGCATTTTCAAAGTCATGGTAGAATGAAGGATCTTCTGAACCTCCTCACCAGTACAACACAATCTTTCTCAGCTCCCATGCGCTGGGGCAATCAGAGAGGACTGGTTAGTGATCGACCCTGGGATACGGTTTGTAGTGATTCACAGCAGAACACTTAAAACAGTTCCCCTTGCATATTCTTGAACTGGTTAAATCTCTACCCGGAAAAAAAAACACGAAACACCCCTGCCAAAAGATTACAGAAGGTGCCAGAATTTTTGATGAATTGCTCTGGATTTATATAGACAAAACATATTTTTATTCAATTGCGATAGTTCTTAGTTTTTAGACCACAGGGACGGACAGCTAATAAGTTGAGGAGTCACATTTATTCGACTCCTCATTTATTTCTAATGCTTCTTGGCATCATTGCTGTGAAAAATGAAGTACAGATATGCGTGAAAATGTCTAGTAGTCTAGGCCCGTTAGCCTGTACAGATTTTTTTTTTAAAAACTGAATTCCAGCAGCAGCTGCTTCCCCACATCTCTGCTTAAAACATGGTGCTTATTGATTATGAATTTGGAACCAGCACCTTTTTCTGTTGTCCTTGCAGTCCTTCTCCCCCAGCACGTCCACAGTCGAGTTCCAGGCAGGAGGGAGAGAAAGTACCCAGCCTGAGAAGAGGTCTCGGGGGCACGCTGTCCACACTTCGGGACTCGGGACACTCTGCCAGCTCTGCGGCCCTGCCAGCGAGGGCACCAGACTCTGCCTGCTCCCCTGACAGAGCCCTCGCTGGTCGAGGTGTTAGTGAACCGATACTGCTTAAAGCTCGACACGAAGACAGTGATGGCAGAAATAAAAAGAATTCCTTGTGTTAATGTAGTGCTCCTATTAATAGGATCCCAAGGGGCTTTGTAGTAAGAAGAAGAAACTTTATTTAAAAAAACAAAATTATACTTTGCTATTGTAAAAAAGACACAGCTGTAATCATAGCGAATTACAGAATAAGCATATGAGAAACAAAAGCAGAAAGAGGTGGAGCAGAAGAGACATGATCATTAGAAAATGAAGCAGACACAGGCAATGATTAAGTAAAAGCCTTTTGGAGATGAGATTTAAATGCACTCAGGGTAGATGACTCTCTGACATCCATGGGGATAGAATTCCATAGCTTTTCCAGCGGTGCAGAAGGCCCTGTCGCCCATAAAATGTAAATGACCTTGGGGGACAGACAGGAGACCAGAGACAGACGAATGAAGGCTGAGAGGTGAGGAGTAGACAGATAGGATGTCAGAGAGATACTGAGGTGCCAAGCCATGTGGAGCCAAATAGGTGAGCATGAGGATTTTGACGTTAACTCAAAAACTGATAGGAAGCCAGTACAAGGACTCCGGGACAGGAGTAATGTGGTTGCCTGCATGTGATCTTTACACACAGAAGGGTTTGCACTTTATTCTCTACTGAAGAGCAGCCTCCACTTGGGTTCATGAGGCCAGCATTCTGTCCCGGCAGCCCCATTGCACAGCAGATCAGAGAGAATCTGCTTCACCAGAGGAATTAAGAGTGAACATTAGGGAAACCAGATTGTGAAAGCAAGAGTGCAACTTAGCCTAGACACTGGTGTGACACCCCTATACTTATGGTATGAACAGGGTGGTGGGCATAGAGTAAGATGGTATTTAAAACGTTCTTGTCATTTCATTCAGAAAACACATTCTCCTTTTCTGTCAAGTTGGAAAAGTATTCCCTTCACCTCTGCAGCCTGATTGAACCCGGTCCTGGGCAGCTCAGAGAGAGGGCTGTTGCTCAGCAGGCACAGTTGTTCTCTGAGCTTTGTTTCCTTTCCCACTGTGTGTTTTTCTGTCCCCTGCCTGACGTATGGCCTGCCTGGGTGAATGAGTAACCCGATCAAGGACACTGCAATATCAGGGGATAACTCTGCTTTCTGCGCACTGGCAACACCGACCCAGGAAACCATAATCAGATTCAACTCCTCAGTATCGGGTCTATCCAGCTGGCTTCACTCTGCATGATCTGCTGTAAAAAAATCCCTTCCACGGCTCTAAAAACTGCTGAGTGTGACTTTGCGTTTGTCTTCAGTGCAGGTCTGGTGGATTTTGTTTTATTAGCTCTAAGCCCTGAGACACACATGAACATTAAGCATAGACGGTCACAGGCTTTGCAAAGGCGGTCATGGGGGGCTGCCTGTAATCAACCAAGCTGTTGAAACTGACCCTCTGGGAAACTTGGTGAAATTCCTGGGCCAGTAAACCACTGTCAACCAAACAAACAAGATAAACCTAATCACGGCTGTTCTATAGAAACCTTGCATGTGTCTTCATTTAAACAAAAGCTCCTCGAACACAGTGGACCCATTGGGGTTTTCTGCAAACACTTCTTCTCGCGCAATATTTCTCTTCTGAAGCTCAATCACAGACTGCCAGGCTGTGACGTCTGTGTCTGCTTCTTTCAGAGCTGAGTGCTGTGCCACATGCACACTGGAGTACCTCTGTCTTGTCTGGATTTTTTTTACAATAAGCCAGGCCACTATCTACATAACATTTCTGCAGGTACAGCGTCTTTATGATTCGTTGGCAGCGCCTGAGAAGATTCAGACACTGCTGGATAGGGCCAGATGCGTGAGTGTGTGCGCAAGACTGGAATGCGCCTGTGTTGGTTCTCTTTACGTAACTTTTAAACGCCTTGCATGTTGTGCAGCTCACTTTTCACTCCTCTGTTGTCTGCTTCTTACATTGACTTGAGCACAATGCATTTTTCCTGCATTACGTAAAATGGCAAAGTAATCCAGTCAGTAATCTTCGGGATGGCCGGTTTTCTGTATGGAGCAGGTCAGGCTGAGAAACAGGGAGCTCGCTCTCACACTGACTCCAGGCCCGGGAACGAGACGTGAACTGTGAAGCACACTGTACCTTCATTCTGGGACAAGAAGCCTTTCAGAATCTCAGCTGGGGGCCAGCGAGACACTGAGGGTGATGTGGATGTGAGCTTTGGGGACCTAGTGTTTTCTCTTCAAACTTTCTCGTTTCAACCTGTCCTACGTCTTGGCCCTCTGACTGGGAAAATAAACTTGACCCAGGGGTCACAGCAGGTTTCCCAAGAGGCTGACCTCTCGTGGCCAGTGTCTCCCACTCCTCCCAGCCACATTCCAGAGAAAATCACAGTGGAAAAGGCTGCACCAGACTGTTTATCCAGGTGGGGAGGCCAGGCAATGCACAGGGATGCAGCCTGATTTCATAGTATTGCAGCTTTAGACACCTTTAAAAAATGTGGGTCTTTCAGTCCCCAGCTGTATCTCTGAGAGACTATTTGAAACCTGAACCTACAGCAGAACCAGACCTGGCTTGGGAGCAACTTTTCAAAAATAAATGTGATATTCTTTCCTCTGAATAAATCGATGGCGCAATCAGTTTAGTTTCGAAATCATCCTAATATAGGCCATAAAACTTCAGGATTTTGATTAAATGCCATCGAAAAAACATGCTTTTTTATACCTTTCAAGAAAGAGGGAAGATTATGATGATATCCTGGCATTAACCACACATGGTTGTCTTTATAAAACACTAAAACATGGATTCAGCAAGGGACGTTATCTCCCCTGCTGAGGTTGCAGAAAATGGTTAGCTCAGCCAGAGACTGTTCATAGGGTGAAGTCTCCTCTTTCTGTTATCACTGCAGTGCTTGAAAAAAAAAAACTTAATGAAAAGCAAACGGAGTCCATGAAGAGGAAGGGAGTGAGAAGGCAGAGCTGTAATCTTGGAAGATGAATGGCCAACCTTCCTGTGGGAAGGTCAAAGGTCGGAGGTATCACAAAGCATAGATCAGCCATCAATCCCATCTGTATTCACAGCCTTGTCTGCCGGAGCACTGAGCGTTCCCACACTAACATCAGCTGCTGGCTTCTCTCCTGCACAACCCGCCCGACATCCCACAGTCGTATGCCAATACTCCCTGCCCCCAGCACCTACTGTACAAAGAAAGCTAATACATTTCCTGGTGATCAGGGGAAAACCACACTGAGCTTAGTTACAGGCCTGGAAATGTGGGCACGGATTGATCAGAACAGAGTTGTTCTTTGCTTGTGCAGTTTTGACTGGCTGTGTAATGAAATCGCACCAGTGGAACAGAAAAAAAAACTTTCAGAACAGGCAAGCTCATGTCCACCTTCCATAATGGTCCTAGAATACCACAGAACAAATTTAAAATATTGAGGGAAAAGAAACACATAGCCACAAATGACAACATTGCTGAGTCTTTTTAAAAATTAAGAGGTCAAATATGCCCAGAATATGATTAGAGATTCTGAAAAAGTACCAGGAACAGTTCTGAAATGATGCCAGTATTGCCCGGCTTAAAATAGAACTATTTAAGCAACTTTCAGATAAAGATGTGGTTTTGGCTGTAAATGTGTCACATGTGAGCTGCTTTCTGCAATAACAAGTATTCTTTCTCTCGTTTAAAACAGGCCTTGTAATAGACGTTCCACAGTGCAGAGACACCACCGTCTCTCTGCCAGGAGCCAGGAGTGTCCCTGAGTCATAATTCTTTATTAGTCCCTGAGGCTCAGTCACATCCTGCTCAGATTAAGAAATTCTGTGGACTAAGCCTGGGTTTCAAATCCCAGGTGAGGCTCTGCGGTTCTGTCCTGGAGCAAGGTACTTCACTCAGACTGCTCCAGTAAAACACCCAGCTCTGTAAATGGGTACAGGGTCAGCCAACTAAATGAATAATTAATAATAATTTGCGTTGTAGGCTTCACACCTACCCTCACCTACCCTGTTCGGAAAGTAACAGTTCACAGTAACAGCTGGAAAGTTCAGAGCATTGTGGGAGTGTTTGACACACTGTCGCTCCTATCTGTCTCTGGACAGCATTAACTGACCACCTTTATTAACACAGAAATTAGGCAGCAACCACTTAATTGAGTTAAGTTGATGAGTGAGGGGATGAAGACTGTTTGCTAACTTTCTTGGCTAAACCCAGCAAAGTGAGTGTTTCTGAGTGCAAAAGCAGGTTAAAAAGGTCTAATAATGTAAGATATTCAATTATAGAGATCAATTAATATCAGTGATTAAGGGCTCAGCCGGAACACAAATGAGAGAAGACAGGCAGTACTTGACCAGGCTTGAGACGCATTTGGAACATGTGGCTTGTTTGTTTTCTAGAAGCTAATTGACCTGAGAATCTCATCCCACCATCTCATAAAGAAAAGCAGGATATAGGCTTTGAAAATGTGGCTCGGGCAGCTTGTTCCAGATTTCCATAACTCTTTGTGCAAGTAATCCCAGCAGTGCTAACCCCCATTCAGGATATTGACCTGATACCAAGTTGCCTCATGTGAAGAAGCTCACAGTGTGAAAGGTAACTAATGGTCCTGATGGTGCAGGATGTCTCCTCTGCTCCTACGTGGCTCAGGAGTTGGAGCTGAGCAGTCAAGTCATATTCAGCTGGTGATTCCATCGTATATGCAATGACAGAACCTTCAGTAGTTCCAGTAGGGAGCTGCGTCAGCATGCGTAGGCAGCAAAGGAACAAGTAAAGGTTTATTCCAGCTGAAAAGAGAAGAAAAGAAACACAACGTTTTGGCTGTGGAGCCTTCTTCGGGTCATAACCGAACCTTGCCCCTTTAAAAATAATCTATATCTGTGAAACTACAAGATCTGACACATGTATAAGACACCTGGAACGAAAAGCCGCCCAGCACATAGAGCAGACCCACACAAGCTTGTCTGCTAGCCTGGCCTTGTGCATGAGCAGGGCCTGACAGACACCCTCTGGTATGGGAGACATTTATACCATGATTGCGGAAAAGGAGGACAGATGCAGAATTTCAGGATTTTGATTAAAATCTTTAGATTAA